CGGACAAGAGCAGAAGATGCCCTCAACTCCACTCCAGGACCTGCACCGCTGGAACACCAATCTAGTCTACATGCAGGAGGACTTCTACAAGAGATTGGTGAACAAGGCTGTAATCAAGAAGAAAGAAGAACAGCAGACAGCAGTCAGCTGCAACCAGTGGGCCGAGGACAGCCATCAAGTCCAAGGCCAAACCCAAGACGGCAGTATCGGCGAAGGCAGAGATGAATTCGGAGGAGGAAGAGGAACAGGAACAGGGCAATTTCTTCAGCCAGGCGGTCTTCATTGGCTAGGAAGATGTGGCGATGGAGGAGCTCACACATCAAGCGCATCAACAGAGCTGCGATGCCTTCCACCAAGGTCTGGTCACTTTGCGCCAGCATGTCCAGACCCAGCGATTGATGTGGAAGCGCAATCAAGTGGACTGCCTGTTCTTTCAAGCCGAGGAGCAGGGCAATCTCGTGGAAGCCCAGGGAGTTTTTCTCTGTCCGCAATGTCAGATTGGAGAGATGGGTCCGATCAGCGCCACGGAGAACCTAGAGGAGACGGTTTCAATGTGTGAACCACAACTGCAACATGGCGATGCATCTGTTCGAGATGCCTCTGGTGTACTCCCGCATGGGCCGCTTCAACATCATGAAACTGAGGTGAGTGGCAAGTGGCTCTACGACCTTGTGAGAATGACTTCAAGTCTGACGAGTCCGTCGGCAACCTCATGCAAGTTTTGGACATGAATTCCGTCAACACCTATGTAGCCATCGGCTATGGCGACTTTGTGAAAGGTGTCACTCCAGTTGTCACAACACCATTCCTGAATCGCCGGGTCATCATGACCAAGGGCGGTGGAGACCAATGGAATGCAGTTGATGTCACAATGACACCTGGCAGTGATTACCATATTGGAAAACCCGTGCGCTATTTTGCAATGTATGAGTTCTCAGATGAGTTTCCCAACTACATGGTTGCTCCTGAGTTTGAAGCAGAGGTCACTTTGACCAAAGCTGCAAAGACTGAACTATCCAACAGCCTGGATGAGCTGTTGGGAGACCTCACAGTGTACTGGACGTTGTGGGATGAGTCGGAAGAGTGCGACGATGTTGGCGAGATGTATATGGTAGCCTCTCCAAGTTGAAGGATGACATTGCCGAGCTCTGCAGCCCACCGAGGTTAGTGTTAGTGGCTGCAGCTGCAGCACGTGGATTGAGAGCTGACCTGTCCATTGACCTGACCACCAACTATGACTTGTCCAAGAAGCCAGATCGACAACAAGTGCGTGAACAACTGCGCAAACGGAAGCCACGACTGCTTGTGACTTCACCACCATGTACCAAGTTCTCACCAATGCAGAACATCCGGGCCTATCCGGAGAGATTGGTCGATGAGGTGGGCGAAGCAGTGGAACACATGAACTTTTCCATGGAAATGTTGGAGGAGCAACTGGATCGTAGAGGTAATGGGTTACATGAACACCCTGACCTGGCTACGCCATAGAACCTTCCAAACGTTAGGCGATACCTGTCCCATGACGAAGTGTTTTGGTCAAGTCTCATTTGTGTTGTTTTGGGCTCATGATCAACAACCGACTTTCCAGGAAATCAACTTTGCTTACAACAACCTGCGACACCATTGTGGCGAACCTCCAACGACTTTGTGAATGCCAAGAACCACGTCCACAACTTATCAGCGGCCTGCCTCGATAGGTGCAAGTGTATCCACCGGCTATGGGCAGTTGTTGACGGTTTGATACAAGAATGGATAGACCAACAAACAGGCAAACCACGACACGTGCCAGACCTAGGTGATTTGGAACAGTGGATTGTTGAGCTGGATGCAAAGTCAACACACCAATGGCGAACTTTTCATGACAGCGCCATCTTGGTTGTCAGAAAGCCTCATCAATTGCCAGTTGCTGGACCTGGTCACAGGACTTTGCTGTGGACATGGGGTCAAGAATCCATGGGATGGCAAATGGCTTCAGTCTGAAGCAGCACGTTCTGGGAAGCCCAACAAGTTTGAGGTTCAGTATGAATACATGATCATCCTTTTCCACCTTCCTGAGATCAACATGACTTTTGCCAATGCCAACCACGTCACGCCTGCTGAGAAAAACATGGTTTTCCGAGCACACGTGAATCTCGGCCACCCAGCTGTGAAGGAGTTTGTGCGTCTTTTGAAAGCGGCTGGCACCAGAAATGACATCATTGAGTACGATGCCTCAAGGAGCGACGTCAACCAACCAGATTGCCAACTGCAAAAGCAAGGGAGTACGATTTCAGTGTGGTGATTGGAATCGATTTGCTGTTTGTCTATGGCGCCAATCCCAAAGAAGCATTTTTCTGCAAAGCAGATAAAGCATTATCTCTACCTGTAACACATGCGTGTATGTTATTTGCTGTGTATGCACAGCTTTGTCTACACGCTTCCCACACGCATCCTCTCACGCTGCTCTTCCCCCGCGCCTCTGCGTGTGCTGCGTCTGCGCGGCAGTGCTGTTGTGGCTGGCGCGGCAAAACCTCAAACCACTGAACGCCGTCTTTTTTGACAAAACTTTGTCAGACTTTTGTAGTTACCGTGTTTTGTCAGACCTGTTGGTCGCCTCATCTTTTCCAGTTTGTGTGCGTTCTGGTTTTTACAACTTTGTGTTGCGACCTTTTTGCAATGCACTTACAACACAGCACAATGTTCACTGAAAAGGTTCATTCCAAACTTTGAATTTGATATTCCACCTAAATTTTGGCTAAGTGGTGGGTGGGAGCTGCCGCCCGTGTGCACACTGTGCTGACATCCCCAGTGGCCTTTCAACCAGGACTTCATGCAGCCACCTATCCCAAACTTTGCTTCCATTGCTGCTACATTCTGTTTGGGATTTGTATTCGGCTTTGTGAGTTGTTTTGCCTGGCTATTGTCACTGGATTCAGTTTATGCAAACCAACACAGGCTTAGACCACCTGCTGCCATTCACGACCGGAACTGTAGGTAAGTCAACTTCCTTCTAATCGCTCCCTATTTCATTTTATTCGCTCCCTGAATCTCCCTGGCATTGACGACTTCATGTTTCATGTCACCGCTGAAGACTGCACCTTTTTGCACGCCCCCTTCGCATGTTTCACAGTTGATCGAAGCATGTCTCCAAATGGCATGGTGCTCACGGCATTGCCAGAGGTAGGCCCATAACAGCAACTCAGATTCTGATATAATTCCCAACATATAGGGTAATAGGGTACTATGTTTTGTACTATGTTTTGTACATTATCTGAATCATATCTGAATCTATTCAGTTCACCCCACCTTGGCACTAAGCCTTCGAGGCTCACGCCATGTACTCACATGTAAGGAACAACCGCTGGTAGTTCCTGAAAGACCCAAAGCATCCCATGAGAATGCATCCCAAACTTTCGGTTAGACCAACCGCAAAACATCACCAGCGTTCATGGTGATGGACTCCTTCAAGAAATATAACGGTTTACCTCAGGTTGTTTTTCGCGGATGCGAATGGAAAAACATTGTTCGATGCCGATATCACTTTAGCACAAACCTGGCACATGGCTGTGACGCCATCATTCCAATGCCAAGCCACGAGGCGTCAGCTCCTCAATGGGATTATACGCAGGGCTGGTGTAGGTTCAGGTTCCCATTTAAAATCAATAGAGTGATCAAAAACAAATTGTTTGGTAGTGGGTCCTTGTCTGCCTTGGAAAAAGACATTCGCCAGTGTCGGGACAAAGTAGCGCTGGCATCCAAAACCTGAACACCATGTGACAATCTATCCCCTTGTAAGTCAGTGTATTTAATTTTTACACCATGACCATCAACCTGGTTGATTTTCTCATTCCAGTTGTTGTTTTCAGATTTTTGCTGGATATCCCAAGCCTCACGAGTGAAGGCGCTCGCAATGGTTGAGAACTTCAAATTGGTGGCCCCGGGCGTATAAGAAAACAGTGGCACGGTGTTGCCAGGCTTCACGACGTAGAAGTCAGCACCTGAGCAAGGCAACCATTTTACCAAAGGATCTATAGACCGGCAATTGAAATAATTGCTGAACAAATGGGTGAAATGGTAGTCTAGGAGCCATTGGCAGGCTCAGCACATGGGCCAGGTCTTTCAACCGTATGCGAATGCAAAGAGACATCAACGATGTTGTTTTCCTCCAGCTCATGCAGCAAATCACGCAAGCTGCATGGCTCAGCATCACTTGTAGCCTTCGAACTTTCGGACGGGATTTCCAAGACCACGTTGAAGGTGTCAGTGGTCCACTTGCACGGAATGGTGCAAGCCAGCGGGTCACCTCCCAAAACATATCCATCAAAACGAAAAAACCTCTGTCAAATCAACCAGTTTGCTTTCAACACCGTTGTTCCAAGGAACGAAAAAATGTGGCGCACAAGTCTCACAGGTTGGACTTTTTTTTTCTAGCGCTTGCCACCACTCCTTCGGTGACCCCATGCTTCCGGAACTAGCGACGCCACCATGCTGCATGTTCAGCATGGAGCGGTACCCCAGTCTTATGGGAACCTTCTAACCCACAAGACACTTGACACACCTAAGGTTTGACATGGCCCCAGGGCCACTTTCAACTTTGTTTCAAAACTACCAGCTGAGACAGTAGGAGGTGGGTCGGTCAAACAAAAATAAAGGGATCTCCATCAAACAAAGTTAAAGGTAGTCTATACAACACTTGGGACATTGTTTTTTTAAAAACCATCACCCCGTGTATTGGGTCTCGGTAGATTCGGCTTCAAGTGATCTGGTGCTCATGCCTTTGGCATTTTGATTCGCCTGCGGCTGACCTCACTCTTCGACAAGTTCTTGATGACATTCATGCGGTCCGGATGCGTCTCCCACCTGAGAGGCACAGGTTAGGACCTCAAAAAAAATGATTCTGGGATGGAAGCTCAACATGGCCACGTGGGGAATTGTTGAAACCAAATTGAATTGTTTTATTTTGTTTTATATAAGATTTGTTTTGGTTGATTCAATGACTAGGGACGCTTTGCGTGCCAACTTCAACACTTCGCGCCCAGGCCAGGCATTTCTGGGTTTGACTTTTTGATCTTCTTCTGCTCTTCGTGGATCACACTCCAGTAGAGGGATCGCATGTCTGGACAGGATCCCTTGCTGGAATCCTTTCCCTTGGGAACCTTCTCAGTCGACTCATCATTGGAATCTTCATCCGATCGGGAACCACCCTCATCTCCAGAAACACCCTCATGGTTGGAATTGGGGGATGCCACCGGCTCCTCCTCATCACCCTTTCCTGGCAACTCCTGGGTAGTGGCCATCTCAGAATCAGAGTCCTTCTCAGACCCGAAGAGATCCTCAGCATCCACCTCACTGTCCTGGCAGAGCATGTGGAAATTGGCAATAGTGTGTTGCCCCACTGCAAATTACCCAAGGGTTATGAATCAAATTGGGGTTAACAAAATATGAGCTACCCATTACATACCCATTAGAATGTCCCCAGGGTTATGAATCCAGTCAGGGTTATGAACTTATGAATTATCAAGTTTTCACCCGTGTGAAAGGAAAAAGAATGATTGAGTAAACCAGCTGCCCAAGCCAGCAGACTGTCCTCTGAGACACGATCCAGCTTCTTCTTGGTGCCTGCCTCAGGAGAAAATTCCATGAACAGAGACCAAAGCCGAGGGACACCGAGATACAAACTTTCAAGAAACAAAATGAGCTCGAGACCCTCCTTTAATTAGCAAATGTGCAAAAACAAAAACCCTGGCCTTGTTGGCGGTGGTTTCAGCAGTTGCCTTTCCTGCTGGCCTCTTAAGAACAGCACCCTTTCCGCACTTGGACGTGGACGACCTTGCTGTTCCCTTAGACTTTGCAGCAGGCCTGCCCCGCTTTGAGTCCCCTTTGCCCTTGCTCACCTTGCTTGCCTTTGCCTTTGCCTTTGGTGCTGCTGTGGTTAAAGAGTCAAGTACGGCCTGAGCAGCTTTGCGTGCATAGGTTCCTCTGGGAGCCCTAGGTTTTGTGCTAGCACTTGGTTCCACTGGCTGTGAAACAGGGGCATCAGCAGCAGCATCCGCAGGAGCAGCTTTTTTGCGACGAACCTTACCAACATCTCCCATGGCACGAGAGATATCAGACCTCAAGTCAGCAACTTGCTCTGGGGAAAGCTGAGCCTTCTTATCCCTACCAGTTGCATTGAAAGTATTCAAAGGCAGTGCTGGCTGTTTGTTCACAGGCATTCGGCTCTTTCCAGGGTCAGAGTCACGAGGCGATACCACCTGAGAGGCGAGCTGAAAATCAGAGAAATGACAAGATAAACTGGGAACAAAGATTGGACCTTGAAACATTGGCAAAACCTGAAAAACAACATACCTTGGGAAGAGACCCTGTTGGATGGCTCTGGTGTCACCAAAGCATCAGGGCTTCTGTCCAAGGCTGCGTTCAAGTCCTTCAGTCTGCAGGTAAGATATCATTCTGGTTTGGTCCATATTGTAAAACCGATGTGTATGGCAAACAGAAATCAAAGTGAAAATTGAGCAATTCAAGCTCCTGTCGAAACCCATACTTAGCCAAGACATCACCCAACTCCATGGCCGCTATGGAAAGAGCGACAGGTGTCCAGTCCCAGGGCTTTTGTCCACCGCAAGTTTGACCAAATCAGCTGAGGTACCAACAGGAATCTTTTCAAACCAGGTTGTCCAATCTGCCCTTTGCAATCACCGTGTGTTTTTTTAAAGATTGCCTAGCACACAAGACAGAAACCTCAGCTGGCCTAATCCAGTGTTTTCCCTCGAAATCTTTGCCACCCGCTCGGGCTTCATGAAGCTTGACTTCCCATGGGCGATTTGAAACTCCTTGTCGGACAGGGTCAAATCATCTTGATGGCTCACCTTGGCCATGCACAGCGATGAGCTAACAAACCCACCATTTAACTCAGCACAAACCATGTATGACTAATGATTTTGACTCAAACATATCACATTATTGTGGTTGCCTATAGAAATCAAAAACCCATGAAGACAGGACACCAGGTAAAGTTTGTACTTTTGATTCTCGACCACATCGGTTTCTGTTCCATCCCTCTTCTTGGCTAAGGTTAGATACAGACTGGTGCCCGCAACACGACCACCGATTTTGTTCTCGATGATGTGAGTCTCCAAAAGGCTGTCCAAATTCTTTGGTTCACTCTCAGTCCACTTCGCTGGACCTGCCGCAGCTTCCGGGGCCTCCTCATGTGGAACCAAGGCTTCCTGGACGGCGGCCATGTTGGCACAAAACCTGGGCGTGGGGTGGAAATCAGAAAATAATGATTATATAACTAAGACGTGTTCTGGGTGACCGCTTGAAAAGGCAACATAACAAACCAATATAGCAACAATATAGCAACAATATAGCTACAATTGTTTTATTCTCTATGACCTTACTATGCTGGATTCCCCGTATTATTTCTTTGAAAACCTGTTTGGAGGAACACCAATTTGGCAATCATTGGGCCTGTCTTGCACCAAAGCACAGTGACCCCACACATTTGCATCCTCACAGCCAGATGACACAGTCAGCCAGAAAAGAAGTGGGACCTTCTTGGTACTCGGCGGACATTCGCACCGCAGGAAGGTCGGCATGGGCTCCAAAGACTTCGCTGAGAATTTGTCTTCCACACGCCTAGCATGGGGCTTGATTTGACAACCCCGGCCATGTGGAACTACCATGTGGGGATTCCAGCAAAACCTAATCAAATTGATATTTTTTTGTTTGTTAATGGCTGGTGTTTCAAAAAAACAGATAGACAGAACCACTAGTGACACACCCCAGTTACTTAGTGGCTGGTGATTCAAACAACAGAAGATAAAAACATCTTTTTGGTAACACAGCCGCAGCCCAATCCTGAACTCATCTCTCAGTCCACCCCTGCGTTCAGACGTGGACTGCGGCCCGATGGCAAAGCAACAAGATCTCTCTGGCAGGGTTGCCAAGGCCCTCTTCACCAGGTTGACAAGACAATTCAGGTCATTGGCGGATAGGACCCCCCATTTCATGAAGTCCAGCCACACGATCAGGGAGCCATCAGGACCCAGCGAAGCCACAAACTCAGGGTATGTTGGAATCACAAATGATCGAGAAATGAACATGCTGGTTGTTGGAAAAACGGGGGTTGAGTATGACACGGGGATTAGTTCAGAACGCATTATCATTATCGGTGCTTTGGAAGGTTGGGTGAGAGTCTCCCCTGGCCCCTTTTCCAATTGGATTGTAGTTGTGTGGAGAACAAGGGAAATAATTCATGTTTGAACCTTCCACCTTGTCCAAAGCATTGTTGAGATCCTGCACCGGCCCTGCAACATGGTGGCACCTCTTGCGCATGAAATCCATGGTGAGGCTGCTGCCAATCTGGTTCTGCTGCTTCAGGTGGAGAACCTTTGCAAGGCGAGCGCTTCGATCGGTTTTCTGTTCCTCTCGGTAAAGGGTAGCCAGTTGCGCAGCATCACGTGCCAATGCCAATGCATCAGCATCAAAAGACAACTTGTTCTGGGAAAGGACCAACTCATCTATCTTGTCATCGGCCTTGCAAAGCTGACCATCACTCATAGGCTGGGCATTGGGAATGTTCTCCTTCCACATGTTCAACTCTTCAATTTGGAATGCCGGGTCCATGACCATCAAGGCACTCTTCAGCTCTTCGTGGTAGTCCCTAAGATGTCTTTGATTGGAACAAATAGGTTGGAACTTTTTGGGCCATTGGCAAATTGAACAATTTTAAGAAAACCGTACCTCCCATATTTTTCTTTCTGGGGCCCCATGAAACAAATATCAGAATCTCCCTTGATGTCAGAATTCCGTCACCCTTGTGATATATTCATTTATGGGGTGGCATCCTTTTAATATGCCCCTGTAAATTTAAGTTGGTGGTTGAATTGAGGAATTGATTTCCCAATCAGCTTCAAGGAACCCCTCGATGAACTGGTTCATCACGGTGATCAAAGTTTCACCAGGGAAACGCAGAAGGTTGTCTGGTGTTCGATGGGTACGCATTTCATCCAGAACAAATCCACCAAGGCAGCAGATATCTGCCTCAGCATCCCAAACCTGAGCTGGCACTCGGAGGACTTGGGCACGACCAGCTTTCTGCTTTGTCATGGAATGCACGAAGAGGATCCGCTGCATGAAGATGTGCTGCTTGGCACTGTTCATCTCCAACATGGTACCCCAAACCCCAGCTACTTGCTTGGGGCAACCAGCCAATAGCCACCGTCCATTCAGAAGGCAGTCTTTGGAAAAGGCTGCGCAGGGTTTTGAAATGAATTAGCACTTGATGGGTTGAAAGAAAACATTGCGAATTCCTAGTTAATTAAGTGCCATCAGCAGTAAACTTAAGGGAATTGATGAGTTAGTTATGGGAAGTGATAGGGGGTTGATGGGTCATGAAAATGGATGGGGACCGATGGGGGCGCATGGGAATTAATTATTGGGGGTTGAAAAATCAATGGGGATTCAGATTACTTGATGCATTCTACGGGGATTCATAGGGCTTGGGACGTATTTCACCCTTCATGCCTGATTGCTCGAACTTGTGCATGTGAAGGTGCTGCTCCATGAGGTGCCATGCTGCTGGACAAACCCCCACCTTGCAGTGTTGGGAAATTACCCACTTGGAAAGTTATTAGAAGCTTGCTTATTGTTCAACCTTTTGCAACCTAAATTCCACGTTCTTGGCCCTGGCCCATGCCCAGCCTTGAAGCCAAACATGAGCTTTGCTGTTGCAGTGTCTATACGATTCTTCGGGTTGGTGAGCGCAGTGCCAAACGAATTGAACTCATCAATTGCTTGGTGCCACGCCAAGACATACTCCATGTTGTTCTCCTTTTCTAGAAAAGGAATTCGGGAGATAGAAAATCATCATCTTATGATTTTATTCCATCATGTCCCAAAATACTTCAAGGGTTTTCCCAAAATATTTCAAGGGCTTAGTACATTATATGTAATGGCTGTGGTGCAACTAACAGCGCTCCTGGGCAATCTTCTCTGCTCGACGATGAAACACCATACAAGCCTGAAGCAAAGACTTTTTCTGACGTTCAGCCTGCTGGTTTGACACCTGAAATCTTCGCCACACATAGTGCTCCTCCTTCAGCTGGGGAATGTAGGCGCAGGCCACTTGGCGAGCACTACGCAGCCACCTCACAACGGAAACCCGACCCAAAGCAATCTCAAGGTTTTTTGAGGGTCGCGCCTGAAAATTATTCTAACACATATATTAACCAAAGTGTTTCTATGGAACGTCACAACATGTCTCCCATAAATTTAATACTAATTTCATTGAAGTACACGCCCAGGAATGGCTTTTGGATGGCCTCTTTTCCCCTAAATTCCATAATGTGAGGAGTGAAAACGTACGCACAACAACTATGATTTGGAGGAGGGCAGAGGAATGGGACATGATAGATAAACAAAAAGATCTATGTGATGCCACCATTGCTAATGTCACCTGAAAACTCATAGTTGCATCACCTTTGGGGGTCCCAAGTGCTCAAAATTTGAAAGACGATGCTGGCGGTGCCAGCATCACCTTTGGCTACCTTTGATATGCCCAAAGACGATGCTGGCAGTGCCAGCATCACCTTTGGGCACCTTTGTTATGTGCAAAGGCGACGCTTTCAGTGATCGCTTTCCTATTCGCAAAATCCCCCAAAGTCAATTTCTTGGATAAGAATCAAAACCAATTCTTGGATGTAGTCAGCCAAAGGCGACGCTCCCACACCCAGCTTCACCTCCCAAGCCGTTGGCATATTGATTGCTAGGGGCATGTTAACATCAGAGGCGACGCTCCCATCGCCAGCCTCACCTTTGGAAATTTGAGCACCTACATCCCCCAAAGGCGACCCAGGTATCCCCAAATCCCAAAAAAACAGGTTCGGAATTTAACCGAGATTCTTCGTGAATCCAGCCAATTCCTCTTCCGTCATGTGCCGTTTCATCTCCAGGAAATTGTAGAGCACTGTGAACAGCAAAATGGAAATCTTTCCACTGCCTTTGGATGCCTCTACGGTCCCAAAATCCATAGGTCGTCCCAAAAGCTCTGCATGAACTGGTCGAATCTCGATGCTCTCACGCCAGCCTTCGTATCCCTGGGACCAAATGTTGGTAGCATGCGTTCCCCAATCCTGGAGACACGGCAGCCCATCCCAAGGAGCCTTGAAAGCGAAAGCTGTCAACAGCACATTGAAAGCAGTCGACTGAGTCTGGTCCTGGACGCAGGGAGCCGCAGCAGGTGGAATAAAACCATGAGTGCGCGGAGTCTGCTGGAATTATGGGAAATATATAGTTGAAATTCAACAGTTGAAACAATACAATTTTGGTGGCAAGGGGTCCGGCATAGTGACCACAGACGGATGGTGATCTTCTTCCAAAACCTCATTCAACCAAGTGTTCAAAGGGAGATAAACATCGGGGGTGAGCTTGGACAGGAGCCAGCCCACAGGATGCTCATCCCTCATCGGGTCAAAGTTCCTAAGGGCAGGCTTTGGCAAGTCTGAAGCATTTTTGCTGTGAGGGGAAGTCATTACCACCTATGTGTGAAGAAATTGAAAGATAACATAAATGCTATATGTTCCAAACCAGGCATCTCAAGAATCAGTCCCATCTTGGATACCCATGGGGGCTGTTCCACTTTCAACGCTTTGGCTGATGGTGGCGTCGAAGCTGCCCCACGCTTACCCATCACCCTTTCTCGCCTTCCTTTACCCCACACTGGTCGCCAAACGGGCTACAGAATGCAGTGTTTGCTAAGCTAACAAGATCCAACTTTTCACAACCCGCAATGGTTGAACATTACTACGGCCGAAATCTAAAACAAAATCGCTCCATTGTTTTTTGCTGGCATGTGCTTCCTTACTCATAGGCTGCTCATTCAAGCGATGAATTTTGCATGTTCGTATGTTTGAATTAGATATGCTTGAAAAATCCTGGATCTTTGTACTGTTCTATTGGACATCCAGTGCCATCACTGCAGCACATATGAACGCTCCTACACAAGGAACTGACATTGCGTTCCCTGCCATCTTAACGACAGCCCTTTCACGTAGATCATCCACACAGAGCTTGGGGGATCCACAAGCCTGGGACTGTTGCCTGCTGATCGGCAAGCAATGCGATGCCAACATTTCAGTGCCACTGAGCACTCGCTGATGCACCTTGCAGGAAATGGACTTTTCACTTGGGGTGTGCCCTAGATCAAATAAGTCATTCGCACCAAAAAAGGGAAGCAACAATCTTTATTCAACCAAGATGTTTTATTGATTATATCAAGCCTGCGAAAACAACCGTCCCGAGTTCGTGGTTAAGGTAGGCAAGTGCCCCTCCGCCGTGTCAGTCCTTGCCCTGCCGTTTCGTGGGAGTTGTGTCAGGTCTGCAATAGACCACTTCTTGGTGACCAAGTTCTTGTCGCGGTACTCGTTCAAGGTCTGCTCCTGGGAGAGTGTGATGTGAGAGAATAGGGGCACTATGGGTTTATTTCATGGACCTCTTGTAGACTACACACAGCTGGGTAACTTCCAAAACAAAAATTGTTTATAGATTTGGCTGAAGTATCTTCTGCTTCTGACAAAGCGCAAGGCAGTGCTTTCAGGGTGAAGTAGCTCAACGCATTCATCATTGGTCGGGCATACAGCGAAGTCAAAATAGACTCCAGAGTCATGTCAGGGTTCCATGTCACCTTCCTAGAATCCCATGCAATGCCGTAGTGGCGTGGACGTGCAGTGCCCATGCCAAAGTGACGGGGGTCCACCTTTGCACATCTGACTTTCCAGTGAGAACCCATATTGGCCCGAACCTGCTGTTCGATGCCATACTCTGGAACATTCTCCAGCACCATAACCTGGGTTCCATCCTGGGACGACATGTCATAGAACTTCTCATGGGTTTGGTACACTGGGTCCTGCTCCACCATCATGTTTCCCATCTTCGAAAAAGGTGTGCATGGAGCACCTGAAGGAGATGCGCAGGCGAGATTCTGGATTATGAAGTTTCGGGCATCGGGCATATCAATATCTTATATTGATAGTATGGTCTATTGCTACCCTTTTACGTTGATATCGTGTCATATCTTAACATCCCAATATGATATTAACATGACTACGATATAACATGGGGTTGGGCGGCTAATCACCCAATTGAAGGCTGCCAGCCGCGCCTCCAATCCTCACTTTGATTCCTTGGATGTTCAACCAAACATTTGTACAGAGAACCTTATATGAGGGCTAAACTTAACATGGTACAAACACAACCACTCAAATATAAAGCGCGATGGTTAGTTAATTCTTCAAAGTATCGCCCTTCTGCAGATGGTGGGAATGCAGTGGGACAGTACTTGCAATGGGTAGCACACCACGCTGTCGACTTCTCGTGGGACATCGTCATGATGTCATCAAAGCAACATCCACCATAGGTAGCACTTAGCACCCTTTGACACCCAACATCCTTCTCACATGCCCATACCAACTTAACATGGGAAGCCGACTTCTCCTTGAAGGCCTTGGCCACTTCGCTCTGCAGTGACAGGAGGGCCTCAGAGGAAAGGATCATGGGGATACAATTTTGGGGCCTTGAAGTTCGAAGGAATCAATGCTGATTCAACAAACGGCTGTAGTGAACACATGTCATATGATGAAGTCCAGGGCATGGGCAGTTTCTGGACATCCGACGCCAGAGAACGCAGTTGTCACTGCCCATCGCCAGTTGTAAAACCGCTGGTGAACAGGAGCCTTGCCAAACTTGGCAATCAAACGTGAAAGAAACATCTTTGGCCACTGAAAGCTGGCTGCAACCGATCTGGGCCCAGCTGGGTCTGATTCACTAGGCTTTTCCAACGTGGTCTTGGGGTACTTGGCAGTCCTGCAACTGTTTTTGATTGTAAACTATGAGGCAGGTGTTGACACACCGTACAAAAAACTAGTATTCAAAGCAGTTGTCCTGGGGCCGGTAGGTGGGCCCTTTTTACCCTTCTTCTTCAGAACGTGCTTGCGCACAGGCCTAGCCCATTACAACTCAGTAGGCCTTTGTGTGCAAACCACTGGGTGAGTGAGCTGATGGCGCCTCGCAGGACCATCAGCAGCGATCTGCCTGACCGCATCGGATAGCTTAACGGCTGTCCTGGGCTGTGTGGTAATCTAAAACTGGCTGGACCAAAGGCTGATGCTACTTTTTTTTTTGAGTAGTGTTTTCTTCAATTTCGTGCAACCTAGACTCTTCATGGGCCAACGAATTGGCAGTGACAGCCCAGGGATGTTTTCGAGAAAAAAACTCAAGGCCACAATGCATCATCTATGTGTCATCAATGCTCTTGGTAGTTGATCTATTTTAAAAACCACTTGGATCCAACTCGATTGAGCACAGCTCTGAGACAGAAACGCTTTATGTTTTCAGCATGGCGGACTTGCTGCAGCACAGGTGTTAGGTGGCACTAAGCTACATGAAACGCCTACTGATGAACACCCCGGAGTCCGCATCCGATTCGCACTTGATCTCAAAAATTTTCGACGTGGCTTTCAGAAGCACTGCTGACAACTTATAGACTTTGCCCTCAGCGTCAAAGTCCGGCTGCATCACGAGGTTTCGTGCCTACAGGACAGGATCATGGACTAGCAAGGTAGTGAAGCAGGTATGCATGCAGTGAGAGAGTATCTAACTTGACCCGCCTGAACAAGAGTATCTCTGCACAGTTCTTCGATTTGCTTGGCCTCCCATGTGACAATGCCAAAAGATGGCACTAAGCCAGTCTGAAAATGCTGAAGTACTGCCACCAAGCCTTCCTTTTCTGCAGTTGTCGCTTTTCCTCCTTACCACAATGAAAGTAAGAAAATTCTACAGGTCAGTTCCAATGAGTCAACTCAGGAAGGTCAAGTTGACACAGCATCAGCACTGGCTGATGGCCAGCAGTCCTCAGCGTTCTTCGGTGATGGAGTCACGTAGTGTTGGTCCTGGATGGTTGTACATGCTACCCCCATATTCCCAAAGGTATGATGCATGCAACGAATTAGCCATCACAATCACATAGACTTAGATTTGGTCCTGCGAGTCTTCCCAATCCTCGCGTGGGTCCTGGCTGGCAACAGTTCTCACACAGTTTTGAATGATCTATCAAATTGAACTTGATAAGTTGGTCCTTGAACAGGTGCTTTTTTGGAGTCGGTGTTGATTCAAGCAGTGTAGCATCAGAAGCTGTTCGCTTCAAGGTCCTAGATGAAGAAACACGCAGCCAGCTCCCACGAGCCAGAAATTCAATCAATAGACAACGACTGAATCTAGACTTTGTTGAAACCAGTCCTGGAAGGAGGTGGGCAGTTCGAAGCTGCTGGCTTGGCACCAGGGGAATGCATGCCCAGTCTGTTTGGGCTTTGGGCCATCAAGAGAGGTGCTTGCAACAAGAAAGTTACAAATGGTTACAAACGTCAAAAGCATAGGAGAGCTGCAGGCTGGTGCTGAACAAATTTCTAGTCCTCAACTGCTAGCATTCCACATTTTTTCGGTCTCATCCTCTACCCAGGAGTGCTCTGAACCTCATTTGAGGTATCAACCTTTGACCAGGGTGAGTACTGTTGGGGTCAAACATCGCTAGGGCATCCATATCCCCAAAGATTCTCTGCTCAAGCCACCGCAAATGGGGCACCGCTGCTGGGGTCTCGTCTGAAGTTATCCTTATCAAGTAGTTAACAGTCCTCCTGGTGGCCTCAGACTGGTCTGTGTCCAAAAGAAGGTGGGCCAATTGCAGCAACTTGGTGCACCTCTCGCGGTCAAAGCTCCGAAATGGTCGTGGTACGTTTGGTACACCTCCCAAAATTTCCATGAAACATTCCGGAAATACCAGCGCTGGCTCCTGGACAGGGAAAGTTATACAACCACAATACGATGTGACCTATGTCCTTGTTTCTGAAACTTAGTCCAAACATGTCCAAACAGTTTGCTAAAATTGAATGGTGTCCTGAGACAGTTGTTGATCTGCTGCGAAACGCTTCACACAGCACACTATGTCGTTCACTGACTCTGCCCAGTAAAGTCTCCCTGGGCCCTCGGCAGCCACTGGCACATTTGCTGGTAGATCTGGCGAAGCAATTTGGAAAGCACGTGACTATGGTCCAAAGGTGACTCTGGGAAATAGGGTTGCAAAGGTGATCCAAGGAATTCGGATGCTTTGAAACATGTTTACACCAACAACAACCTTCAACCTTCATCCTTGATGGCACCTCGACGACGCATGAAAAGGAAACTATGAGCACCGGTTGCATCTTCCTTCATGGCCCCAGACAACTGAACAGGTGCCTTTTCAAGCCTAAGTAGCATCAAACATCATGAGACTATGAGGTGTCGTGGGGATACTGGTATCAAACTGCTATCAAAAAACCATTGCTTCCATGGCCGAACAGTAGTCAGCGCTTCCACATGAACAACTGCAGTTCCAAGCCAGGATCTGAGATCCAATTTATCCAACAGGAATTGAGTTTTCCTGGGCTGGCTGGGGCTCAGATGGACTTCGTAAGGTCACCGTGACCTTTCACCCTCACCCCGACCTGTGAAGGAAGAATGTCTGAATTAAAATGAACACTTGCAGAAAACCAAGTTTCTCAACCACATCTCGGTCATCTGCCAAAATATGCATAGATCTCATGCTCCGAGCAAGTAATCCAAATATTTGATCTCAGTGCCACATGTGGTCTAAACGCATCATGTAGTTTGCCAAAGGAACAACAAACCAGATGTAAACAAGGAGGAAAAACAATTGAGCAACAATGTTGTTAATTCTTCCTGGATACCTAAACTGGAATGTGTATGTCCAACTCTGCTCATGAGTGTGCCAGTGAGATCCAGTCCTTTTTGAAGTTGAAGATATGCCAAGAATTTGAATAAGGTATTATTTTTGGCTTCGCGAACAGTATTGTCGGCCTCACTGGGTCAAAACCCATTGAACCGAAACTTCTGTCTATTTAACATCATGATATAATTGATGAACGAAAGTAAACAAACATTCATATGAAAACCAAGATTCCCAAACTAGGATCCGCTTTGGGCCTGGTTTCCCATGCCCTCTGCAGATCTCCCACATTTTCTCCAAACCTCGTGCCAGAGCCTCCACAACCATTGATGCGTCAGTTGCTTGCCTGACGTCGAT